CCCCCCCCCCCCCCCCCCCCCCCCCCCCCCCCCCCCCCCCCCCCCCCATCGTTGGATCGGATTTCTGTACATGTAGGGGGGGCAACGACGAACGAGAGAACACGCTGAACCAGCTTCTGGTGGAGATGGACGGTTTCTCGTCCAACACTAACGTGGTCGTGCTGGCGGGTACTAACCGAGTCGACGTGCTAGACCCGGCGCTCACGCGGCCGGGGCGCTTCGACAGACAGATCACCGTGGACAAGTGAGTTTCACTACTGTAGACGAAGGGAGTTTTGACTCTAGCCGGGTGAGTTTCACGGTAGGCAAGTGAGTTTCTTCTTGTAAAGTTTTTTTGCACTTTTTTCTTTCTGGTTTTGCTCGACGAACGCTGGTTTGTACGCACTCACAAGCCCGTGAGGTTGTGATAGACAGATCACCGTACACAAGTGAATGTTTCTCTTGTTTTTCCTGTTTCTTTGTATCTTGTTCGTTGCTCAATGATGGCATTGGCTTGTGCGCTATTGCGGCCGGGTCGTTTCGGTAGACAGATCAATCGTCGTAGGCGAGTGAATTTTCCTTGTTTGCTTATTCTTCTTCTGTTCCAATTCTTTTTTACTTTGGTCTGTACTCGATAACGACACTGGGGTGTACACGCCCGCACGGGTGGAACGTTGTCGATAGGCGGATAGATCTCACCGTGAACAAGTGGATTTTCAGTTTTTTATCTCCACTCATTTGTTTTTTTTTGCCTTGCACAACAGCGACGCTAAAGTTATATATATACACAAGGTCTCCAGGCTCGGGCGCCAGGCGCCTTCGCCTTCAGCTCTGTATTACGCTGAAAGGGTGGACGGTGGTGGGTGAAAACTGTGCACAGCATACCAAGGGCACGGAGCTGGGAAAGACTTTCACCTGGTTATGGTACTGTATATTGTAGAGGCTACAGCAGCACCTTCATCAATACAGCGTGTCGTTGACAGGAGTACAGAACAAGACGAAAAAAAACTTGCGTGCAGTTCACGATGTGCATGCAGTGCATGTGATGTTCGAAAACTCAAAGCACGTTCGAAATTTAACTTTGGATAAAAAGAGCTGTGGCGACAACAACAACAGCAAACCCTGTCCAAATTCCTTCCTACAGCAGCAGACCTACATGTACCCGTGCAACCTTGCCTCAGACTATTAATTGTGCAGACCAACTAAGAATTCCACGAAAAGGCCACGCTTTCACGCTTTATACCGACTAACTTGTGACTAACTTCCAGGAATATATTCCACTAAATTCCTGAGGTATCCACGAAATGTGCATACCATACGACTACAACTTGTGATCTATTCACATCTACCGTTCACCTGTGTGAAAGATAGGCTGCGGTATTATCACTTGTAGTTGCACACCGCACAACAGACGTAGGTTAATTCTCTACCGTTGACCTCTTTATAACCTGTATAACCTGTATACGGGAGAGTGTAGGCTACGGCAGCATCTTCAATACAACTGTACAGCGTCGTTGGCAGTATAACAGAAGACAAGCAACAAGAACTTGCAGTTTTCCGTGAGATGTGCATGCATGCATGTTGGAAAACTCAAAGCACAAGCCAGCTTTGGCGTACCACAGCAATAAATTCAACTAACCCTGTTCAATTCCTTCTTACAGCAGCAGTAGACCTGGCGTTGGTAATCGGAGGGGGAGGGGTGTTTCAGGCATACACACGTTGCCGTGGTAACGCACGTGAAGATACACGATGCAGGTGAGGACTTCGAAGTAATTACTTCAGTTGGCGTTGCTTACGCCAGAGAAGGTGACGACAGCAGTCTGTCGATATCTAGTTGACACCACGCGGCACAATTAGTACAATAATATCCGCCGTTGGTTCTACATGTAGCAGCAATGTGGTGGTCGGTCATGGTTTATGAGTTGACGTTCTCCGAAATCTCGTCAATGTGCTGCGTGATTCTTTGAGGTGACAGTCCTTACCGCAGACGCGCCCGGAAGCAGGAGATTAAGTCGTACTTCACGGTGCTGTAAGTCGGCTCGCCCGTGGAGTCTCGAGCTCGCGACAGGGGCGCTGTGATCGTGAGAGTGGCACGCCCACGTCGGCGAAGACGGCCAAAAAAAATGTTTAAATCCCACTTAAGGACAATTAAAACCGATTTACCGCACCGCAACGTCTAGCTCAATGACTGAAGTAGTGGTTGCGTGCATTCACCGCGGTGTAACTCTACTCGCCTTTGGAGTTTCGAGCTCGCGACAGGGGTGCTATGATCCGGAGACTGACCCGCTGCAGCGGGCAACAGCCGGCGAAAAAAAAGTCTCAGGGCGACCGCGAACCGATGCACCGAAAAAAAACGTCTTGCTTTTAGATTGCAACAATGGTTGAACTCTTGCGTCTCAGGCTTCCGACATTATTGCAGTCAAGTCTGTGTATAGCAGTTCAGGAGTGAATAGTGTAGCGAATTGGTGGGATTTTTTGGTAGGCCGACTCTCTGATACGTACGGGACACGGAAGCAATTCATTCTGAAGGACTTGTGGCTCACATCAACCGCTGTTGCCCTTACTTCTAAATCACATCGCCTTTATATAACCTGAACCCTCCACAAAAAGCACACACGAATGTATGTTGTTGCCTGGTAATACGGAGTCTTCCCCTTACGCTTCAGAAACACAAGACTGCTGTCGTCCAACTCCTGCACCCCCCCGTCAGTAGGACTATAGGTTCATGGGAGGGGCCTTTTTTGTTTTTGGTATATCCCGCTGCAGTACTCTTGGCTGCCACGTTGTCATTGATCAGCCGGTTAAAGGTCAGTGCTAATTGTGAAAAATCAGACACACCCCAGCCTTGAAAAAAAAAAAACTCAAGTGTTTTCGTTTCGTCGGCCGGTCATAGCGCGGTCGATGGTTGTTCAAACACACACACACACAAGCACGCGCGCACGCACGCACACCGTATGCAGCGTTGTAATCCGATAATTGAAAACGCCCACGCCATCTTATCCGACGGCGGCGGTGGGACAGGCCCGACATCATGGGCCGCAAGGCGATCTTCGAGGTGCACCTCAAGGGCCTCAACCTTGGCGGGAAGTCGTCCGAGTTCTCTGGCAGGCTTGCCGGGCTCACCCCAGGCTTTGTGGGCGCGGACATCGAAAACCTCTGCAACGAGGCCGCCATTGTGGCCGCCAGGCGGGACAAGAAGAAGATCGAGATGGACGACTTTGAGGTGCGGGGGG